CTCTATGTGTCCATGTGTGCTCATCATTTATCTCCCACTTATAAGTGAGAACATGTGATATTTGATTTTCTGTTCCTGCATTAGTTTGCTAAGGATAATGGCCTCCAGCTCCATCCATTTCCCTACAGAAGATATGATCTCATTCTTTTTATGGCTGCATAATATACCATGAGGTATATGTACCACATTTTACTTGTCCAGGCTATAACTGATGGGCATTTAAGATGATTCCATGTCTTTGCTATTGTGAGTAGTGCTGCATGTGTCTATGTATCTTTATAATAGAATGACTTATATTCCTTTGGGTATATACCCACTAATGGGATTGCTGGGTCAAATGGTAATTCTGTCCTTAGGTCTCTGAGGAATCGCTACACTGTCTTCCACAAGAGTTGAACTAATTTACATTCCCACCAACAGTGTATAAGTGCTCCCTTTTTGCCACAACCTTGCCAGCATCTGTTGTTTTTTGCCTTTCATAATAGCCTTTCTTATTGGCATGAGATATCTCATTGTGGTTTTGATTTGCACTTCTCTAATGATCAGCGATGCTGAGCTTTTTGTCACATGGTTGTGGCCACATGTATGTCTTCTTTTGAAAAGTATCTTTTTATGTCCTTTGTCCACTTTTTAAGGGTTTTTTTTTTCTTGTAAATTTAAGTTCCTTGTAGATTCTGGATACTAGACCTTTGTCAGATGCGTAGTTTGCAAACATTTTCTCCCATTCTGTAGGTTGTCTGTTTACTCTGTTGATAGTTTCTTTTGCTGTGCAGAAACTCTTTAGTTTAATTAGATTCCATTTGTCAATTTGTGCTTTTGTTGTTGTTGCTTTTGCCATCTTCATCATAAAACCTTTGCCAGTTCCTACGTCCTGAATGGTAGGTATATAGATTGCTTTCCAGAGTTTATATAGTTTTGGGTTTTACATTTAAGTCTTTAATCCATCTCAAGTCAATTTTTGTATATGGTAAAAGGAAGGTGTCCAGTTTTAATCTTCGGTATATGGCTAGCCAGTTATCCCAGCACCATTTATTGAAAAGAGAATCTTTTTCCCATTGTTGTTTTTTGTCAGGTTTGTCGAGGATCAGACAGTTGTAGCTGTGCAATCTTACTTATGGGTTCTCTATTCTGTCCCATTGATTATGTGTCTGTTTTTGTACCTGTACCATGCTGTTTTGGTTACTGTGGCCTTGTAGTATAGTTTGAAGTGGGGTAGCATGATGCTTACAAATGTGTTCTTTTTGCTTAGGATTGCTTTAGCTATTCAGGCTCTTTTTGGTTCCCTGTGAATTTTAGAATAGTTTTTTTTTTTTTTTTAATGTGAAGAGTGTCAATGGTAGTTTAATAAGGAATAGCATTGAATCTATAAATTGCTTTGAGCATTAGAGTTAAATGCTTTGGGCATTTTAACGATATTGCTTCTTCTTGTCCAAGAGCGTGGACTGTTTTTCCATTTATTCGTGTCATCTCTGGTTTCTTTGAGCAGTGATTTGTACTAAAACAACTAGAGAACCAAGAGCCAACAAATCCCAAAGCTAGCAGAAGACAAGAAATAATCAAAATCAGAGCTGAACTGAAGGAGATTGAGACGCATGAAAAAATTCAAAAGATCAATGAATTCAGGAGCTGGATTTTTGAAAACATTAATAAAATAGACCACTAGCTGGACTACCACCACCACCAACAACAAAAAAGCCCAAGACTCGATGGATTTACAGCTGAATTCTACCAGATGAACAAAGAATAGCTGTTACCATTCCTACCGAAACTATGCCAAGAAAATTGAAAAAGTGGAACTTCTTTCTAACTCATTCTATGAGGCCAGCATCATCTTGATACCAAAACCTGACAGAGATACAACAAAAAAGAAAACTTCAGGCCAATATTTGACAAACATTGATGCAAAAATTCTCAACAAAATACTAGCAAACCAAATCCAGCAGCACTTCAAAAAGCTTATCCACCATGTTCAAGTAGACTTTATCCCTGGGATGCAAGGTTGGTTCAACAAACACAAATCAATATACATGATTCATCACACAAACAGAACTAAAAAGAAAAACCACGTGATTATCTCAATAGTTGCAGAAAAGGCTTTTGATCATATTCTACATCCATTCATGTTGAAAACTCTTGAAAATCTAGGTATTGAAGAAACATACCTCAAAATAATGAGCCCCATATGTGATAAACCCACAGCTACCATCATACTAAATGAGTAAAAGATGGAAGCATTCCCACTGAAAATCACCACAAGACAAGTATGCCCTCTCTCACCACTCCTGTTCAACATAGTATTGGAAGTTCTGGCCAGGGCAATAAGGCAAGAGAAAGAAAGAAAGGGCCTCCAAATAGGAAGAGAGAAAGCCAAACTACTCCTGCTTGCAGACGTCATGATCCTGTATCTAGAAAATCCCATAGTCTCAGCCAAAAAGCTTCTCAGGATAATGAATAACTTTAGCAAGGTCTCAGGATACAAAATCAATGTGCAAAAATCACTAGCATTCCTATAACCAACAATAGCCAAGCAGAGAGCCAAACTCCCATTCACAATTGCCACAAAAAGAATAACATGCCTAGGAATACAGCTAACCAGAGAGGGGAAGGAGCTCTCTGCAAGGAGAACTACAAACGTTCTTTTAAGTGAAGTAGATATAGTTGATCCTTCCATGTTAAAACGGCAAGATTTAAAAAAAAAATAGGGTGCCAAGTTAAATTTAAATTTCTAATAAACAAGAAACAATTTTTGGTGCAAATATGTCCCAAATACTGCATGGGACATACTTGCACTAAAAAACTATTCCTGTTTCATTTAAAATTCAAATGTGACTCAAGGCCTTGTATTTTATCTGACAATCAAATTCCATGTCATTGTGAAGAAAGTAATCATGGATAGTTTAAGTAAAGAAGAGTTTGTCTTTAGGGGATCATAGCAAAAAACAATTCATTTGTTGTCAATTATCAAAAGCTTTTAATTGTCACAAACATAATTAAAATTTGCAATCACTTTTGATTTGGGCAAAGAATAAAATGTAAACAGGTTTACAAACGAATGAATACAAATAAAATGGACCCTTAGAAGAATGAATCTTTTCACTTAAAACAGGAAATAAATAAGTCTAATTTTGAATGTCTTTGAAGAACCTGCAGATCATTCCAGATGTAAAAGTTGTGCAAGAGATTGAAAGCACAGCCTTTTCTACTCGTTTTAACAGATATTCGTTTCCTTTGAAGTGATACGTTTGAAGGTCTTCATATCAAGAAACATGTTTCAATTAGCTAGGAGCAATTATCATTCACTTATTCAGATCTAACATGGTGTTATGAGGACATCTTAGAACTAATATCTGGTATAAATCTAAAATTAAGATCAGTCCTATAGTTAGTTGTAAAAATAAATTTTATATTTAATGTTTTAGAGGGAAAAAACAAAAATAGATATGAAAATTTATCTGTACAACTATAAGAATTCTGAGTGGAAGCTTAACACATTTAAAATTATCATTGCAAAGACAGACGTTCAGCTAATAACTTTACACAGTTTTCCTCTTGCAAGAAAATATTAAAATGTATATCTCTTAAATGAAAATATTTATCTGTCACTTATGTACACAATTAGTAGCCTGGGACCTGGAGTTTAGGGTCACTACTTGTATCTCTTATGCCCATATAATTCTAATACCAGGAATAAAGTAAACAACTTTAAAAGAAACCCAGAAGTTTCTTTTTGCCCAACAAATGGAATATTCTGGATTCAGAACATTATCCCTACAATGAACCAGGCTTTTGTAAGTCAAAACTTTTTGCTTAATATTTCTGACTGGGTCCTGGAATTAATAATGGCAGTGCCAAAGTTTAGCAAATAAATCTTTTATACCTTGTAACAGATCCCCATTAATGCAACCCATAGCCATAGACATAGACCTATAAATCACGTATTATTTCTTTCTAAAGGTAAAAATCATAGACATATAATTCCATGTTGGTGCCATGGGTATCACCTTCTGTTTAGTATATGTTCTCACAAAGTAATGGGCTTTCTTAGCCACTTTATCTCTTTCTTTACAATGAATTCCCATATGTGGGAAAAAAAAATGTTTCAAGCTTGATTCTTAAACTAACAGAAATTATTATTGCTCTATTTTCTAAGTAGTTTTTATCTTTGAAAAGATAGTGTCAGGTGGAAAATACATTTAAAACACACAACTACCACATTTGGAAGATGTTACTTGCAATTGAAACTTCTGAAGAAAAACTTTGCTTGTAGATTATTTAGACATTCTGCTATTTGTATTTTGAAGCAATTCACAGAAAAAGTAGGCATACATCATAATGTTCTATTGAACTGCAAATTTTAACTACATTATCTAGAAAATGGCAACTGATTAAGTTTCAATAGAAGAAAAGAAGGCATAATGGTTTGAGTGACTGAAGAGATAAGTGAAAGCAAACTTTATTTTTTGTGTCTATAATTGGTGACTCTAATCCCCTTTTCTCACTACTAAGTAAAGATGTAAAAAGTAATCTTAATATAAATTAGAAACTGTGGCTTCATTGTAAAATTTACTTCTTTCCGTCTGTTAAATAAGCACAAGGATCTATATAATACTATAAGGGTTAATTGTTAATTTTATGTGTTACAATAATGAAATAATTAGAAGTAGGGACACAAAATAAATGTGAGTTGAATGGACAGCAATTGATGCTGTATAGTTAAGACATATAAAATCAGACAAAAGAGTAAAGATGTAGAAAACCAAACCAATCTAAAGGCTCTATTTGACCTTTGTAATAAGCTATTACAGAATTCACGAAAATGAGTTTTTATTACTTCATGAAAAATACCACTATTTTTGATTTTTTTCTAGATCTTAAACAATTATTAGACTATTGGATAACTGGGGCTTGTAAAATTGTTCTGCAAATGTTAATAACTGCATTAAACATATTTCAACAGGTGCATACACATTTCAGATTTGAACATATAACACAATGTATTATAAACAAGAAAAAAATAATCATTGAATTTTATTATGATTAGTGATATCCATTCCCGGTAAAAAGAATCTAAGCATTGGAGAAGTTCAAAGTAAATGCTTTAATGAAAGTTATGAATGGTATTTAACATGGGACCTATGCATATGCAATATTATATTTTTCATATCAATGAAAAATTCCATAAAAATAGCTATGTTATATTTCATATGTAAACATTTAACAAATATATTTGTATTTTTTTATTTTAATACAATGAATATTAATACATATTGCATTGGTTTATTTTAATGACGTTTATTTAAGTTCAATTGTACAAAACATAATTCGTGGTCAAAAGTATCAAGCAATAAATTTTAAATATTGTACAGGGAATAATAGATGATAAAAAATTGTAAACCCCATGTAAAGAGAGCCAGATAAGCTCACTGGAAATTTTTTAATTAAATAAGCTTAAAAAGATATTGGATTAAATGATAATATATGGAATATAAGATTTCCAAATGTTAATTTAGTTAACTCTTTTGTAGTAGCTATACACACACATACCACTTTTATGTACTATCTCTAGAAGTAAAATCTTGAACTATATAAGATATATAAGATATATATGAGTAGAACAAGGAGGACATCTTGAGGTCATTTTAGAAATGTACATGATTTTATAGTCTGCACACAGTTTATGATTTTAAAAACAGATCCTTCAAGCTAAGTAAACACTTCTAATATAAAATGTATTTTTTCTTGATAAAAACAAAAAGGCAAAACAAAAGCTTTTAGATTCACTTGAAAGAATTCTCTTTCTCTGTCTCTCACACAAACACACACATACACACATACACATACACATGTAAAGATTACAAGAAGTTGTTTCTTACTGAATAAGAAATAAAATTTTAAAATAAGCATACGTCTGTACAAACTGTTCTGGCAAAACTATCTTAAATATTTTTCCACAGTAGTAAAATAGAACCCTTCCACAAATATTGGTTCAATGCATTTAATTAATCCACTGTATACCATTTTCACTTCCTACTTCTAGAAAAATAGAAATAACAGCTAACAGGAGTTTTGGAGTTTCCCCATTTATGTCTTTTCCTATGAACCTTGATTTAAAGCTGGACTTGCAGGACCATTGACAGAATGTTCTGGCCCCTCAGTGCCACTTGTGGGTTCAGAACCTGCAGCCTGTTCCTTTGCTTCAGGGAGCTTTTCTGTGGCACCAAGTGGATTAACACAATTAGCATCCTGCTTTACTTTGTCCACTTCATTATCAAATTCAATTTTATCTTCTTGAGGGTTGTTTTTCTTTACTTGTCCATTCTGAGCAGGGTAGGTGCTGGCAATGATGTCATATAGGAATTGGTACTGCTCCTAGTAAAGGAATTAAGCAGGAAATTACACGAAGAAAGTTGATGCCATTATTTTTATGCCAGATGAAGATTAGCAAGAACTAATGATTTGTTTGTGGAAGTATTGAATGACAGAAAAGTACTTTGATAGGTTCTCATAAAGATATCTAAATAATTTAGTTTCTTTATGGTCCTAAAGGGTTGACTGCAGGATACTTTTTGAACTTTACCTTGGAGCAACCCCAAACCGGTGTTCACTCCTCTCATGGGCCATTTCCATGCCTTTGCTCATGACGCCATGTTTTGTACCTATCCTCCTGTCTAATGCCTACAAATCATTTAAGAATCAGAGCAGGAATCACCTGCTTTGAGAAGCGCTCCTTGATTCCTAAAGTTTAAATTAAATGCCCTCATTTGTGTTCTTCTTATAATTTCTCTATCATTTTACATACTACATTGATTAGTAAATACCACACTTTCCCTCAAACTCACCAATTAGTCTCTTTATAGCAAGAGCATATAGCAAGCATTTGATACATTTTTAAGTATCAAGATTTGAAATCTCAATATCATACATGATTAAAAGCTTTATATAGTTTAGTGAGTAATTAAGTTTACATTGTGAATAAGGATTAATTCCCAGATGACCATCTACAGTTACTACCACCTAGAGGGTGTACACGATAGATCGATTACAAGAAAATAAAACTTATTTTCCTCCCTGTATCCACATTTCTTTGCAATGTGAATTTGCAGGCCAACTCAAGAAGTGGGGTCTGTTTCCCTACCCCTTGAATCTGGGCAGGCTTTATGACTTATCTGACTAATAATATACAGAAGACATCTGTGTCACTTTCAAGCCTGGGCCTCAAGTGGTCTCACACAAGTCTTCTTTCCCTTGTGGAACTTGCTGCTTTAACGTGAATAAGCCTGGGCTAGTCTTCTGGATGAGGAGGGACATGTGGCCCACTCACTGTTGTTGCCGTAGCTAAATGGCAGCCACATGCCAACCTACTGGCAGTGTAGGTCACTTTAGACCAGCCAAACTATAGGGCACACATCAGCTGAAGGCAGACACATGAGTCAGCCTGGTCTCTATTGGCTGAGCTTGAGGGCATCAGCAGAACATTCCAACATATCATTAGACTACTGAACCATAATAAATGTTACTTGTTTAGGCCCCCAAATTTGGGGGTGGTTTATTACACAACACAAATAGATACAGGAGTGAAGGCAAGAAAATTAAGAAATTCATGAGCATTTAGGGAAAGACTCTTCATGAACTGTCACAACAAAGGGCTAGGAACTTTAGGCTCTTATTTAGACTGATAATAATTTAATGTGAATTATCATGTAAAAGTAGAAAAGATAAAAGAATAGGAAAGAAAATATAAGAAAGGAGAGAAAAGGAAAGGGAGAAAAGAACAAAAGAGAGGAAAGGAGAGGAGAAAAAAAAAAAGGAAACCATCAAAAAGAAAAAAAAAGTCTTCCAAGCATGTTAAAAGCAACGGTGAAGTATACTTACAAATGTGGAAACCATGCCAGGCCTAGCTTTGCGTAGAGCTTTTACCACTTGAAAAATATCCACTACCTCTTCTGTTTCCGCACTTTCTAAGAGATTTAACAAAGCACAAAATATTCCTGTTTGCTGAGATCCATCCCTATAAAAGAAAGAAAAGATAGAAAATAATCCTATTTGTTACCAAAAAGGGTGATATTAGAATAAAAACAGGAAGAGAGAGAATATATTTTTTACTTCATGTTTATCATAATTATCTTATTCCAGCCTCTTTCAAGAACCAAATTATTTATGCTAAATGCATTTTTAGGCAACCTTTTTCAATTTAAGAGTATGATAGTCCTGGAATTGAAAACTTAATTGTCTCAGGATTTAAAAATATATTTCCTTTTATTTAGTATTTTAAGGATTTTAATGCATTTTTATTTACATCTGAGGTTGTTGAAACCAATATCAGAATGCCAGTATGATAGATAAGGGAATCAAGATTTTGAGAAGAGAAAGGTATAGCTTGAAGCTGATGTAACCAGAACTATTAGACCTAATATTCTGTAAATTACTAGAATACATGCTTCTTCACTCTTCTGCCTCTCTACCATGTTCACAAATGTTTTCACTTCTGCATCAGTAGAAAAGTAATACCCAGTAGAATTATTCATTAAAAAGAGGGCAATTAAATAGTTTACCAAACAATGAAAAGTATAAAGCATTATCATGAAGATTTGGTTTAAACAATATGTTACCAGCAGGGTGCTTTAGTTATTGTATATAAATCATATTCTAAGAAACATATATAGTTTTACAGTGTAAACTTCCCTTCCTCAGCTTTCTTTCCACATAAATGCTGAATATTTGTGTATTTCTAAAGGTTTGATTCTAGTATATGCAATTCCAATAATAACAATTAGACTTTTTCAGAAATTCTAAAAGCTTTTCACTAGATTAACATTTCTCATTTTACTTTACTGTTTTTCATTTCTCATTTACTTCAATATTCTTTTTCGTGTAAACTTTTATATTATATATCTTTCTTTCAATTATATTGCTTAAGATGAATATGTAAGCATCTATCACAGATGAAGGAACCAATAAAATCCAGTACTATTGTTGATATTATCACAATCTTTGCCCTTTGGTTCAGTTTAGAAAATTAAATAATGAGTTTCAAATCAAAATTGCTAACCTTTGGGATTTCAGTTAATATTTAACTTAAAATATGTTTAATAAACTTCATGTTCATTAAACATATTAGGTGTTTTTGTGACACCTAATAGAGTAGATCAATGTATATGAGTATATGTGTAATGTGATACCCATCTACCTATCTGTTCACACACCTTTCCATTCATTAATTCATTCACACAGATGACATTCCTGGCTCAATGTTAGCTACTAAGGAATCAAAGATGACATGACTCCAAGTATTAAAAAACACAACTTAAAATTACTGCACTATAATATAACCACTTCTATTATATTTCTATAATAGTTATGCTGTGGAAACAACCAAGAGAGTGACTGACTCCATAAGAAGTTTTTACTGTGGTTATGTGTTTCATATATGAGGATAAATAGATAAGACAACATGTGAACCGGGAAGTCAAGCATTATGATTTTTGGAGCACATTCTACCAAATCCCACCCACCTGCAGTGAATGAGGAGAGGTGTACTCTTGTGATGCTTGTTCCCTTCGGAGGAATTCTTCTGGGGAAGTTTTTCTTTGAGGACCTGAATCAGAGAGACTAATTCCTTGGGTTCTGCAGGAAGCTGCTCCACACTCCAGTTTGTATATTGGTACTGGTACACAGTTCGAGAGTCTTTCCTCTAAAATCAGAATTGAAGAGAGCATTAACTGGAGTGAAGGTCAGCTTATTTTCTAATTTGATAGTCATATTTTCTTCACAATTACTTTTATTTAAATAATTTTAAAATGTTATTCTGAAACATTATGTATATGTTGGCCTTGCCTGCATAGAGTAATTTACATTCATTTTGCTACCAGATCCATTATACGAAAGAAACATACTCCCAAAATTGTTTCCATACCTTGGAATGTCTCAGTTCAAAGACACGAAGGGTGTAAGTTGAAGATTTGTTTGTGTCTTTCATGTCAACTTCGATATCTCCATATGTTTGCTTTCCTTCTCCCCAGTACTGAGCACAGATTTCCTGGATAAAAGAAGACAATTCAACAGTTTCTGTTTGCTATTTAAAGTATGCAAAGGATCAGTCTCCTTCTTTCTCCCTTTCTCTCTCTTTCTCTGTCTGTGCCTCTTTTCTATTAAATGAAAATTATTGTTTGCTAAAATTGAAACCTGCTTATAAAAATCCAGAATCTAGTTTAAGCATTGGGGACTCATTTAATAAATATGTGGTATTTCCTTGTGTAAGAAAAGGGAAGCTGAGCACAATCGAGGTGGCTGTGACACCCCCAGAACAGCTGTCCCCCAGAACAGCTGTCTTCCTTAGTGTAGGTCTTTGAGGTTTGCTCCTCTTTTCCACATGCTTATCATCACCTCTTCAATATTTATGGCTGGCATGAGTCAATGTTATTCACGACCCTTTCAATAACTCAGGTCCCACTGTCCCTTCAGTGGTTCTTGAGGAAGAAGGGTGCATCTTTTGGGGCTTTGTCTCTGTCATCTTGTTGACCAACACCATGAGCAGCTTTATATATTTTGTCTGCATATCTAAGGAAAGGGCCAGATTGAAGAGTAGATGAATCACAAGTGTTTCTTCTCGCTACCAACTGTTGTCTACCAACTACGACCCCTCAATTTCTGACAAATACAGGCAGTCCTGCCTGTACTTCCATCTTGTTTCCCAGCTTTCATAATTTATATGAAGGAAAAGATTGTGGGAATTCCACGCTAGAAATCTGGACATACATTCCTTTAAAACAGAAAACATAAAAAGCAACTTTCCATGTACAGGGGAAGGGGACCAGGTGAGGGTGAGAAAGAGTGGGATTTGGGGGAGAGAGAGGGACATAATAAATCTTAAATCTTTTGCATACTTATAAGGTTATTCACTGAATAAGCTTGAACATATGTCAGATAATGTGGTCGGTGCTAAAGCTGAGTGAGATCTACCACCAGGGAAATTTTAATAATAACTGAAGATATTAAGGAAAGGATAAAATATCTGTCACAAGCATTAAGTAAAAGATCAAATTATATCTTAGATTCACCTTCAACTATAGACTTTTATGGCAATAAATATTACATGGGAATAAAGAAAGGAGGATACAGATATATTTTTCAGGACTTTGGTCTTGTTAAAAGCATAGGGTCAAAATTGGAAGAGAGCACACATTTAGTTACATGGAATATCAATAAGTTTAGACTCAGTGATGACAATGCAAATGGTGTGTTCAGGCTTGGGCACAAAACCTGCTTGTCCAGAGTGGAGAGGATGGAAAACATAAAAAAGGGAGGAAGATGAAAGACACATGACGGGGTGATTGTCGAGGGTGCTGGATATCACAAAAAGAGCTTGGTTTTTATCTTGAGAAAATGAGGAAAACAGAGTGAAAATGTAGCTGTTATTTGCTGTGACACTGGCATTGCTGCGTCCTGGCTAATCTGTGAGTAGTATGCAAGACTGGAGGGGGCAAACACGAGAGACTGTCAGAATCCAGACATAGCTGATGGAGGCCAACACCAGGGTGAAAGGGGTAAGATTGAGCAGACAGAATTGTGTGATGGAGGGCTAAAAAAGATGTGGGTATGGTGATCAAGCAAGCAATCCAAGACTGGAGAATGAAGTTTTATGACAGAGAGGTTTAAAAAAAAAATCCTCAAAAGTACAAACCTGGTCTCCGTGTTTCAGTTCTGTCAGCATAACAATAACTTTGACTTTTCTTTGGAAAATCATCTGCCAAAAGTCACCAATGGTCTCCTTCAGTGGTCCCTGAGCAGCAATCATCACTTCAGGTTTCCAGTAGCTCTTTTTAGACAAAAAAGGGTGGAACTTTGTTACTACAGAAGAGAGCTCAGTAGATTCTTAAAATAACCATTTTGAAATAGAGTTACTTAGTTTGATATCAGTGCTGTCACATACAAATAGTAAGATTCCTATGTCCAAGAAACAATGTAATAGCTATGTGTAAAATAATTATGCAGATAATAATTCTTAGCTAATAATGTAAAATCAAGATTACAACATATCTTGGGAAACAAGTTTTCCTTTCCACAAAAGACACACCTTTTTGTTTCTCTATAAAGGTTAGTGTGGTTATAACAAGAAAATACTTAAGCATTTCAAATTACCTTCATCATGTCTATACTAATTTTAATTAGTGTCTTTATATTTTTATTGTATTTCTTAATTAAACTAATATTCTATGAATGTGTGCTTTAGGAAACTTTGGAAAATAAGTAAATCCAACTTAATGTATAAATAATAAATATTTAATAAATGACTAAAGTTTCATTGTTTGAATTCTCAGTTAATTAAAAAGGTGGGGGATGTGACACAGACTCACCTAATAATTCATTAATCTGAATGAAAAGTTTCTAACCATACAAATATGCAAATTTGGCTTTGCCTACAATTTGGGTATCTGAGCATGTATAAACATTTTCAAATACTTGTATTTGCTCAAATTTTACTATTTTTAAAATTGATGTGATTATAGCTATATTTGTCATAAAATATAACCAATAGCATTGACTTATTTTGTATCAGGTTATTAAGTTATAGTATTTTTAAATCTTTCATTAAGTTAAAATGTAGCATTGAAATTGAAACTCTCATGTCAATCTATATGTAGTTATGACCAAGCTCATTATTCTTTTATAAAATCACTTAATGAATGGCCCTAATAACATAGATATGACTTTAAAATGGCTGGATCTTGGGTTTTGCAATTTAAGTACCTACCATTATAAAAGATGCATTGATGTATTTGCTTGGTTCCTCTGAATCACTGTCATCATCAGAGGATTCATCTGAATCATGGTCACTCTCTTTACTCATTTCCAGCTCATGTTTAAGTGGCACTCTGTTATAGTCATCTATGTAAAATAAATCAGTAGTAAGCCTTCCTTTAAAAAATTAAATTTCTTCTTCATTGTCATGTGGAAATTTGAAAGTATTTAAAAAGGGACACATTGCATTATGAAAACTTATTGATCTGCATGAAATAAGATCCTATATAAAATTCAGTACTTGTTGATAAACAAATTATACAACAAAAGTCTAAGGAAAAGGATTCCAGGAAAAAACATGGAACATAATTACATGTCAAACAACAAATACATATCGTAACATTATATGATTATTTAATTTTTGATACATACACTTTAGTTCCCCATAGACTATTATAATTCTGCTTGATATAAGTTTACAAAATACGTAGCTTAGATTTTTTCCCTCAATTACATTCCAGTAACATTAAATTAACAATCTTATATAGGTAGCTTTGATTAATTATTTTTTAGCCCAGAAAATTATTTGATCCATAATTTCTCACTGTTTCTTAATTGCTATAATTTACAATAACTTGGTCAAATGATTTGATTAACCATATCACCATCAATTCCATATTTTAAACTACATTCATAAGGACTCCTGTGGAAATCAACTAGGTCAGCCATGCACTGATCTGATTTATTTGGTCGTCTAATTTATCAACTTGTGTTATATTTTATCCATGCTAATTTTAGTTTATGCAGCTGAATAAAATTACCATATGTGATGTTAATATGCTTAAAGAGTAGAATTCAAGTCTTGAAACTGTGCATATTGTGATCTGTTAAATTTGATGATTTAGAGTTTATAGAGTATATCCCCCTACTTTCAACCTCCCAGATATAAGGGATAAAAAGGAAACATAATGAGAACAAATGGATGTAATTTTTACTATTTGTCAATTACTCTGGAGTAAATAACTGAAATAAACTAAAAATGAAAGAAAATGGGTAAAAGAGACTTGCTCTGTTTTCTCCCAGCTTTAAATATTTCACTTTTACGACAACTCATTTCTGAAATAATTGGTAAAAAGAAAACACTGAATACAGTCTACCCTCCAAAGCCCATTGTAAATGTTCAGGATTATAAGTCTTTGCAATAACTAGTATTTCAATACCTATTAACTTCTTCCCTATTAACAACCAAATGTTGAAATCTTGCTTCAAGATCATTTGTATGAGTGTGTGTCCCACATTAAACAAATCCAAAAGAGCTTAACTTTATCTGATATGAAAAAAATAAAATAAACTACATACATGGGATGACATTAGAATTCCTGTTTTTATTTTTATTTTCTTCCTGATTTCCAATGTGCTGTGTCCTCCAGCTCCTATATGAAGGAAGTCTCTGAAGAAAAAAAATGAAAAACTCATTTAAAATGTAAATATTGGCTTATTGCATAATAAGATGCTCCCTAAAGAAAAGCATTTCATTATTTTTTGTGAAATTTGCATATGCTCCCTATAGGCCATACTTTTTCAGTTTGCCTCTGATTATTTTTTTCTTTAAATTGCTCAGGCATTTAGTTCTTTTGACAGGATGAGTATGAGCTAAAGATATATAATATGTAACAGACTATGTCTCCTTCTTCAGAGCTGCTTGATAGAAAAATAATAGTTTGTTCTTACGTAAGTTGAAAGCACTAGACTGATGTTGATCTATATTGCAAAAGCAATGGTAAGTTATTTTAAGTTATCAGAAATAAACTTTGGAGACACCACATTCATAGGAGACTTGGCACATGTTTTGAAAGTTGATTCTTAATTTGTTTACACCTTCTAGATCGATTTCCTCTCACCCACAGTTACTAATTAGTCAGAAGAGATCTATCATTTCTACAGATGAGGCTCACAAATCCTTTTAGTTTTCCTTCCTCCTACTTAATCTAGTCTACCCTCATTTGTCACTTGTAAAACATCAACAATTTCTTAACTGGCCTCTTTGTCTTCAATCTCGCTTGCTCTAATCCTTCTAAAACACAAAACAGAAGATGCTTTTCTGAAGATGAACTTTCCACCACTATAAGAAAACAAAAAATCTCCTCAAAATAGTGTAAGAAGTCTTTAGTGATATGCCCCTGACTATTTCTCCAGCCTTACACCCTTCTAGGTCCCTCCATACTTCTACCAAACCAGCTTCCTCAATTCTTGGAAAGGCCAAGCTTTTCTTTAACTCTTGGCAGATAAACTTGTTTGTTGTTGTTGTTGTTTGTTTGTTTTTGTTTTTTTCTTACTTGAACTACCTTTTCCCCTTTTGGTTGCTCTAATAACTTTTCTTACCCTATAGGCATCAGTTTAAATGCCAATTTATTCTGGAAGACCTCCCTGCCTCCAGTCTTTCCTCTGCACTAGTCCTTAAATAAGTAGTTGTCAAGTGAACAATATTTAATGATAATATTTAATGTTACAAATAACTTAAACTGAGAAAGCTCCTCATGTACAATTCAGTAAGATTTTATATACACACACATGCATGTATATATGTGTGTGTATATAGATATATATTTTTTCAGCATGGTACCCTCGTTCAAATTAATCATGGCACTCTGTTTCAAACCTCATTCATAGCTACGTAATTGAGTGAAAGCAAACATCATCATTGAATTTTAGGCCACTTAAACACCACCATGAGCTGCATGAAGGACCACATGTTTTGGAAATTATTATAACACCTTGTGCTCTTGTGAGTGTAGTCACCGAGGCAGCCTGTGCCCTGTAGCAATACTCAGGATTATAGGTGGAATTAATGGTTCACCTTCATCTAAGACACAAAGGATCTGTCACTCTTAAATCTCTGCCTGCTTCACATGCCATCACAAGTCTAAGCTTCCCAGTGCATCCACATTCCCCAGACTTTTATTCCTGAATGGTTATTTGTATCCTCAGATACAACCCAGTCTCTTACACCTTACCCAACAGTGCCTTCCTCCTCTGCCCTCTGATGCTCATAGTCTGTCATCTGTGAACTCCCATTTATCCTAATCATCATCTTCCAACAGTCACTTCACCTTTTTTTTTCTTTCCACCAATTGAACTTTCCATCACTGAAAGTGATGGAAAATTGAAACATGGATGTCAGCTAAGAACACCACCAATAACTCGGCAGCCCTTTTAAGAAAAAGTTGACTTTCCCCCTCATACTCCTTTTACCTCACAGCTTTAAGAAAAGATACGTGTTCTCCTTACTCTCTGATTCTACTTGCAAACCATTTCTACTTATTCTCTTTCAAATAAACCAACCACTCTGATATTCCTGCCATCATACTATGCTAGCTTCTATCCACTGCCCTTCACTGGGAAGTGTCAGGTATTGATTTCTAAATCACTCCACCTCATTTAGTTTTAGGCTTGGCTAAGTATGTGCTCTTCTTTCCAAGGTCTGTCATCATTTTTGGTTAATTCAACATTGACAAGAATGATCTATCCAACACTCTAGTCTCTTCATTTCTTAGCTTCTTCACCTCCCATGACTTTCCCTCCACATCCCAGTCATCCACTTTCATCATTCCACCTTTGTAGGTTTCATTCCAAATATCACATCACCTCTAAAATCACAACTTCAATTATCCCTGTTGTTGAAAATTACCCCTATTATTCCTGGTCATTTATTCTAGTGTGTTCAACCTAGCAATCTGTAATTCTATCAAAATGTCCAACTTATTATCCTTACTGCTTTCTCTCACCTCCCTGGTGCGGCCAATTTGCTTTTTATTTTCCACCTCAGTCATCATTCATTTGTAAACACCCTCAACTTGTTTGCCTCACTACTTTCAAATAGACACTTTTCGAAATCTAGATAGGTTTAACTCAACCATCTGCACACACAGCCTCGACCCTCAAAGAGCTAAATGCTGCTATAGAAAACAATACAACCAACTGACTAATTCTTCTTTAAACTCATAACGATAAATTTAGATGATCAAATGATAACTTCTGGCAATCTGCCTAGGGAGATTGCTTTTCTACTTTGAGATAACTAGTTCATACCCTTCCTCAAGCACTAAGCTCTTCTTTGCTCTACTCGCTCCTGTATCTCTCAACTCTCAACTGATGATCTAGCCTCATATTTTCTTGAAAAAGCGATAGATCATCGGGCAAGAGCTGCCTCAATTTCCCAATACCAAATTGACCAACCGACTTGCATCTCTACCCTCATCTTCTGTCTTACTGTCTGCTTAAATGGAATAATTTCACTGCTTCTATCTGTGATCTGGATCACATCCTCTCATCCGTCTTCCCATGACCACTTGCAGATCATTTTGACTCCTGTGCCTAGAATTGTACTTGGCACACACAGCAGAAACTCAAGCACATTTGTTTAGTGAAAAATAGTCTGTCTTTTCTATAGTAAATAAACATTCATAAGAATGTTTAACTTAAATGTATAACTGTCTCTAAACAGCATATGTGTTTACATGGATTAGTAGGGCAGGTATAAAGGTATATTGAATATGGTTAATTTGTCAGCTAGAAAAGCAAGAAAACAACAATAAAACACTACTCTGCTTGAGACTACCCTGTGCCTGCTAGTTCTTCCATTGTAAGTACAGGTCTTCTGGGGTATTGAGTCACTTGGTGATTACTGCATGCTCCACCTCCAGCCCCATCTTAACCTCACTTTGGTCCTAAACATTAAATGGTTCTGCATCTGACTAAAAGCATACTCCTGGTCTTTAGAAATTCTGAATTTACCAGTTTGGTACATTACAGAATGACTCACTAAACTGGAAATCATAGGTGGAACAAAAAAAACACAAAACACTTTTCTGACAACGGAGCAATTTGAGGACAGATACGCCAAATTTCTGAAATTATAGTGAACTACATGCTAGGTTAGCTGTCAGAAAAATTGCCTAATAAATAGGTTAGGACACATGTACTTATCTTTTACTGTCTGTCTGGCAGCTCCAGCCAGTTCAACTTCCTAAGCAGTCATAAACTCTTCTAATGATTTCCTTTACAAACGAAAACCAGATACGGTTTTTAAAGGTGATATGCTATATTGCCTTTGGCAGATGAGTTTTGTGGCTACATACTGTTATCTTGACACTTTATTTTATACCAGCTTAATGAGGAATGACTGAAAGTGTTAGTAATAAAGTCAGATTTCTGGGTCTAAAGAAATCTATATAATTGTTGTGTGGATTCAGGCATTTCTCTTAACTCGCTGTGTCCTAGTTTTCTCATCTGTGCTCCACTGGTTCTGGTGAGGACCAAACACAAGTGCTATGTCAAGTGCATAGCAAACACCTAGAAAGTAGATGACACTCAGTAAAAGTTGCCTGTAATTATTATTATTGTTGTCACTATCATTACCTGGAATTCAGCCTCTAGTGGAGATGGCTCACTGGGTGGATCCCTTTTCTTCATGTTATGTAGATATGGATGTAATTCAGACAAATTCACTTCTGTTTCTCCAAACTGATTGTATTCAACCAAAGCCTGATGGATCAAGATGTACTGGGCCTACAATTTCAGGAAAAAATACAGATAATTAACTAATAATTTAGAGTCCTGCAAGTCATATTTAATTAAAATACACATTCCCCATAATTTTGCTCATATTGGAACAATACATGGCAAAGCAAACTGATATCTATAATATTTATGTGATATCTATAATATTCTGGAAGTTCACTCTCAGAGTTTTCTGGAATGTGAGCAAATTCTATTTTCAGATTATTTTTTCAGAAAAATTACTTTACAAATAGATTATCCATGTACTCTGTATTGCACAACTTTTATTCCTAAAAACTTAAGAACATTGTATGTTACTTCATTTAGTAATTATTGGGACAATAAGCCAAATTACTGAATGTAAAACCATAATAAATATCACAGTATATTCAAGAGGTAAAAAAGCAAGTTGTTATTCCTTAGAAAACCTTTCTAAATAGTTTTTAGAACTTTCAAAATAAGAAAATTATTTTTTAATAAGAAAATTATTTTTTTAATCCAATATGCCAAACCCAGATTTAACCACTCTTAACTGCTTATTTTGTTTGAATCCCGTATTTCCAAAGAAATAGTATACTTCTGATAATCCTCTTTAACTACCACCTTTAGTTCCCTGAGTTTGGCAGTATCTTTCCACTGTACTTTATTTTGCACTGTAAATCATTTCTTTTTATCAGGTTAACAATTTGTTTTTATATTTCTACTCTGCTATCTATGCATCTATAATCATAAGCACTGTACATTTTTGTGCTTTAAAAAAAATCACATGTATTATATCTTGAATGTTTCGTGTGCCAACTTTACTCACTCATTGTTTTCATCTGAGCATCTCTCCAGACAGACAGACACAAACCTAGATTATTGCTTTCTACCACAACATAGCATTTGTCATACAGAGAGTCCACATGTCCAAATTTTGTTTTCCTATACCTCTATTGATACATATCTATGGTGTTTCCATTCTTTCACTGGTACATATTTCGGTTTGTTTTGTTTTGTTTTTTGCTATTCTTGCAAATGTTTCTAGTTGATGCTTCTCTTGCGTATGTGCACATATGTGATTTTTGCGGGGTCAAATACAGACATTTTCAGTAATAACCATCACTTACAATTACCAAATGCATAGTATGTGCCAGAGACTTGTTTAAGTGTTTTACTTGTATTACTTTTGGGGTTATGAGTCTGTGAGGTATTATCATTGCCTCCATTTTACAGATGACTTAACTGAGGTGCAGTCAGACTAAAAATACTTAATAAATAATACCACTTACCCTTGTATTAATAATTAAAAGCAAGATTTGGAACCTGAAAGTGTAGTTTCTAAAACCAGGCTGTTGACTACTATACTATTCTGTCTGTTCAGTTTAATTTTATGAGATGATGCCAAATCTGTTTTCAGCGTTTTTAGTTTTCTTGCCAATCTGATATATGTTAATGGCAGTTCATTATTTTAAAACGTGTATGTTTTGTGGTCATCTTTCTTCCACAGTACTTTTAGGCACTAATGAAAAATGCTTCTAAGTATTTCTGGTGATTACCACATGTTTTAGTTTTCAGGAAATCATCTACTCTTTGAAGTTGCGAAGAATTTCGATTTTTTAAAATATCATTAGTATCACTTGGAAAAGATTTAAGTCCAAAAAACCAAAGTGAGAATAATCACTAAAGGTTAGAACATACCTCTACTTGAACCATCAGGCATCTCTGTCGCCTTAGCTTGACAACGTAACCATAAACATCTACTTTGTTCTCAGCTTCCAGGCCTTCTAGCATGGCATCAATTCCGATATAGGTGCCTGTGCGCCCGACACCAGCACTGGCAAACCAAGCAAAAAAAAGGTAAAGGCATGATCACGGTAAAGCTGCAGGTGTGAAACAGATATAAGAATCTAAGTTTCTCCCATAGGTTGTTTCCCAAAATAGCAATTGCCAAAGGGAAAGAGGTCTCTAACAGCCCTAGGCAGGTGGATTCTGTTGGAGTTGTTGTTGTTGTTGTTGTTGTTGTTGTTGTTGTTGTTGTTTTTCCTACCTGCAGTGCACCACAATGGGACCACTGAAGAAATTGCTGAAGGCATTCACTCTCCTTCTCAGTTTGAGGAGCAAGTGAGGATCCTCAGGCACCCCGTGGTCTGGCCAGCTGGTAAACTGAATGTGAGTCACCTCTCTTCCAGTTGCTTTTTCTTTTTTCTAGTCAAGAGATAATATATTCTTTGAAATGATTTTTTAAAGCAGACTATGAAACATAAATAAGTGGAAGGGAGTACCAATACAGGGTCTCCTCGTGCAAACATAAACCGCTCAAAAGAGTTCATAATTTCCTCAGGTGTCTTATACATCTTCTCAGCCATGACTGCATTTTCCTTTTTAATCAATAACTAGTAGCTAAGATATTGTGCAGGACTTGCATGCACTACCCTGTAAGCAATATCTTACCAGTAAGGTAAGTAAGGTAAAGAAAGTATAACCAAAATTTCTAAGAACTTGCATGCTGTCAAGCCAAAAAAAAAAAACAAAACAAAACAAAACAAAATAAACATACACCATAAAAGGGGGGTGTGTGGCTGAAACCTTTTGGATGTGTGTTTAAAATGATATGGTAAAGGTCATTCTCACAGCTGTTTAAAATACTTCTACTTGATAGGCCAGCAAGCAGGACTCATTCTTATGTGAGCAAAGTCTGATTATTTGATGAACATTATATTCCTTAGACCTTCACATGGTAGCACTGTCAACTCAGAATGTAGAGAGAGGACTGAGGAAAGTCAGCCCCAGGTTACCGCTCAGGTTTGTTCTAATTTCAAAGTAACCACCACAAGATGCATAAGTCATAATTCTCTCACCAGGTATAAAGAACCATCTACATTTAGATAACAAAAGAAACATACAAACTGAGTTAATTAACACCAGTAAACCCAGACTACAGAATGTAGTCAGATAGTTATCAACCGAGAAATATACCCTCATATCTATGGATCCGGTGCCTTTGTGGCTTAGTCAAACAAGTATTTAGCCAGAAACTATTGATAGGATTGTTTCACAGCACTCTATAGACATAACAATTAGTAATACCATGGAAATCTAAGAAGACCTATGGAGATATATAGAGTAAGTCTATTTCTTCTGTAGACAATGTATCTAGACTATACAAAAATAAAATTTAGATTACTAAAAGGCCTACAATAAATGAAGTTAAGAGAAAATCTTAACCCCCTATACAAAGACTTGTATTTTTTTAAAACAGCTCTATTAAGAGATGTTTTACAATCTTGATAGGTTGCATGTATCCAGGAATTTATCTATTTCTTCTAAGTTTTCCAATTTATTAGCATATAACTGCTCATAGTAGCATCTAATAATCACTTAAATTTCTACAGTATCAGTGGCAATGTCTCTTTTTTCATCTGTGACTGTATTTATTTGAGTCTCCACTCTTTTTCCCTTAGTCTGGCTAAAGGTTTATCAATTTTATCTTTTTTTTTTTTTCTTTTTTTGAGATGGAGTCTCGCTGCAAAGCCCAGACTGGAGTGCAATGATGCAATCTTCACTCACTGCAACCTCGGCTTCCCAGGTTCAAGTGATTCTACTGCCTCAGCCTCCCAAGTAGCTGGGATTACAGGTGCGTGCCACCACACCTGGCTAATTTTTTTTCTTTTTTTTTTTTTTTTAATTTTTAGTAGAGATGGGGTTTCACCATATTGGCCAGGCTGGTCTCAAACGCCTGACCTCAAGGGATACAGCCACCTTGGCCTCTTAAAGTACTGGGATTTCAGGCATGAGCCACTGCACCTGGCCTGTCAATTTTATCTCTTTTTAAAAGACAACATTTTATTTCATTGATGCTTTGTATTATTTTTTTATTTCAATTTCACTTATTTCTACTTTGATCTTTATTATTTTTTTCTTCCAATTTACCGTTTGGTTTGTGCTTGCTTTTCTAGTTCTTTGAAATGTATCATGTTGTTTATTTGAAATTTTTCTTTTTTAATGCAGGTGCTTACTCTTACAAATTTTTCTCTTAGTACTGCTTTCACTGTATCACATAGGATTTGGATTGTTGTGTTCCCATTTTCATTTGTTTTGAGAAATTTTAAAATTTCCCTAGTGATTTCCTCATTGACTCAGTGGTCATTGAGGAATACATTGTTCACTCTCCAAGAGTTTGTATAGTTTCCAAAATTCTTGTTATTGATTTCTAGTTTGATTGTAGTCAAAGAAAAGTTTATATAATTCATTTTTTAAAATTTTATAAGACTTGTTTCATAGCATAACATAAGGTATGTCCCTGAGTATGATCCATGGATCTGAAGAATGTGTATCATTCAGACATTGGTTGAAGTGTTCTATAAACATCTATTAGGTTCATTTGGTCTAAAATGCAAATTAAGACCAATGTTTCTTTGTTGATTTTCTTCCTGGGTGATCTGACTAATGCTGAAAGTAGGGTGTTGAAGTCTCCAACTACTATTGTATTGGAGTCTATCTCTGTCTTTAGCTCTAATAATATTTGCTTTATATGTCTGTGTGCTCCAGTATTAGGTGCATATATATTTACAATTGTTATATCCTCTTGCTGAATTGACTCCTTTATCATTACATAGAGACAATAAATGTCTCTTTTATTCGTTTTTGTGTTGAAATACACCTGTGTGATATAAGTATAGGTACTCCTTCTCTTTTTAGGTTTCCATTTACATGGAATATAATTTTCCATCTCTTATTTTAAGTCTGTTTGTGTCTTTACAGGTGAAGAATGTTTCTTGTAAGCAACAGATTGTTGGGTCTTGTTTTATTAATCTATTCAGCCACTCTATGTATTTTGTTTACAGAGTTTAGTATACTGATATTCAATGTTACTGTTGATAAATAAAGACTTACTCCTGCCATTTTGTTATTTCTTGTATGGTTATTTTGTGGCCTCCTCTTCCTTCTTTCTTTTCTTCCTGTCTTCCTTTAAGTGAAGGTGATTTTTCTCTGGTGGTCTGTTTTAATTTCTTGCTTTTTATTTTTATGTATCTGTTGAATGCTTTTGGATTTGGGGTTATCATAAGGCTTGCAAACAATATCTTATAATCCATTATTTTATGCTGAAGACAACAGAGATTGTGTAAATAAACTAACAAGCAAAGTGTAATATAATGAAAATGCTACATTTTAACTTCATTCCTCCATTTTTTATCATTTTCTTATTTCAATTCATTAATTATTTTGCTCTCCGTGTCTTGAAAAGTTGGTGTCACCATTATTTTTGGTACCCAAAACCTGAATGGACAACAAGTAATGAGATGGAGGTTCTAATGAAAAGTCTCCCAGCAAAGAAAAGCCCAGGACCTAATGACTTCATTACTGTATTTTACCAAACATTTAAAGAAGAACTAATACCAATTCTACTCAAACTATTCCAAAAAATGGAAGAGAAGGGAATTCTTCCAAACTCATTCTACAAAGCCAGTATTACTCTGATACCAAAACCAGACAAATACACATCAAGAAAAAGAAAACTACCAGTCAATATCCCTGCAAAAAGCCTCAACAAAATACTAGCAAACTGAATTCAACAACACATTAAAAATATCATTCGTCTTGATCAAGTGGCATTTATCCAAGGGATGCAAGGATGGTTCAACATGCACAAATCAATTATTGTGATACATTATATCAACAGAATGAAGGACAAAAGACATATGATCATTTCAATTGATGCTGAAAAATTATTTCATAAAAATTCAACATCTCTTCATAGTAAAAAAAAAACCCTCAAAAAACAGGGTAATGAAGGAACATACCTCAACAGAATAAAAGTCACATATGACATACCTGCAGCTAGCATCATACTAAATGAGAAAAAACTGAAAGGCTTTCTTCTAAGATCTGGATAAAGACAAGGATGCCCACTTTCACCACTGTTGTTCAACATAGTACTGGAAGTCCAAGCTAGAGCAATCAGACAAGAGAAGGAAACATATGGCATCCAAATTGGAAAGGAAGAAGTCAAATTATCCTTGTTTGCACATTATATGATCTTATATTTGGAAAAACCTAAATACTTCACCAAAAAAACTATTAGAACTGATTCACAAATTCAGTAACGTCATAAGATACAAAATCAACATTAAAAAATAGTATTTTTATATGCCAACATTGAACTATCTGAAAAAGAAATCAAGAAAGTAATCTCATTTGCAGTAGATAAAAACAACATAAATACCTAGGAATAAACTTAACCAAAGAAGTAAAAGATCTCTACAATGAAAACTGGGAAATATTGATGCAAGAAATTGAAGAGGACATAAAAAATGGAAAGCTATTCCATGTTCAAGACTGAGTATTGTTAGAATGTCCATACTACGCAAAACTATCTACAGATTCAATGCAATCTCTATCAAAATACCAATAATATTCTTTACAAGTAGAAAAAATAATCCTAACATTTATATGAAACCACAAAAGACCCAGAAAAGCCAAAGCCATCCTAAGTGAAAAGAACAAAACTAGAGGAATCACAATACCTGACTTGAAATTATACTTCAGAGCTATAGTAACCAGAACAGCATGGTACTGGCATAGAAACATACATAGAGCAATGAAACACAATAGAGAACACATGAATAATTCTATAAGTCTACAGTGAACTCGTTTTTGACAAAGGTACCAAGAATATGCATTGGGGAAAGGACAGTCTCCACAACAGATTGTACTGTGAAAACATATGTGGAAGAATGAAACTAAACCCCTACCTCTTGCTGTATATAAACATTAAGTAAAAAATGGATTAGACTTAGATATAAGACCTTAATCTATGAAACTACTAAAAGAAAATGTTGGAAGAACTCTCCAGGACATTGGTTTGTGCAAAATTATTGAATAATGCCCCACGAGCAGAGGCAAACATAGCAAAAATGAACAAGTAGAATTACATCAAGTTAGAAAGCTTCTGTACAGCAAACAAAACAATCAACAAAGTGAAGAGACAAGCCACAGAATGAGGGAAAATATTTTCCAACTCTCCATCTGACAAAGGATTAATATCCAGAATACAAAAGAAGCTTATAGAACTTTATGATAAAAAATCTAATAATCTGATTTTTAAATAGGCAAAAGATCTGAATAGACATTTCTCAAAAGAAGACATACAAATGGCAAACAGATATATAAAAAGGTGGCCAATATTATTTATTATCAGCGAAATGCAAATCAAAACTATATTATCACCTTGTTCCAGTTATAATGACATATATAAAAGACAACCAAGAATGAATGCTTGCAAGGATGTGAAGAAAAGAAAACCCTCAGACAATGTTGGTAAGAAAGTAAATTAGTACAACAACTATGTAGGACAATTTGGAGGTTTCTCAAAAAAAAAAAAAAAAAAAAAAAAACCTAAAAATAGCACTACCTTATGATCCGGCAATCCCACTGTTAGGTATATATCCCAAAGAAAGGAAACAGTAGATTGAAGAGATATCTGCACTCCCATGTTTATTGGAGCACTATTAATAATAGTCAACTTTTGGAAACAACCTAAGCATCAATCAACAGATGAATGGATAAAGAAAATGTAGTACATATATACAATGAAGTATTATTCAGCCATAAAAAGGGGTAAGATATAGTCATTTGCAACAATATGTATGGACCTGGAGGACTTAGGTTAAGTGAAATAAGCCAGACACAGAAATACAGACTTCATATATTGTTACTTATTTGTGGGAGCTAAAATTTAAAATAATTGAACTCTTGGATATACAGAGTAGAATGATGGTTATCGAAGGATGGGAAGGGTATGGCAAGGGTGGAAATGGTAATGGTTAATGTGTATAAAAATATAATTAGATAAAAAGAAGAAGATCCAGTGTTTGATAGCACAACAGGGTGACTATTCAACAATAATTTATTATACATTTCAAAATAAACAAAAGAGTATAATTGGATTGTTTGTAACAGAAAGAAAGGATAAATGCTTGAGATAATGGACGCCCCATTTACCCTGATGTGATTGTTATGCATTTCATGCCTGCATCAAAACATCTCATTTACCCCATAAATATACCTACCATGTACCCCAAAAAATTAAAAATAAAATTCATTTGTTAGAAATAAAAGATACATTTTACATACCATAAAGTTCACCAGTTTAAAATGTACAATTCGGTATTCATATTACATTCACTAAAGGATACAACCATCACCTTTATATCTAATTATAGAACATTTTCATCATCACAAAATGAAAGGCTGTTCTTATTTTCTTTTTGACCTCCTCAGTTCCAGGCAACCACTGATCTACTTTCTGTCTTTATTGGCTTGCCTATTGTGGATTTTTCATATAAATGGAATTATATAATATGCATGATGACTTCCATTTTAACTATTATCTAAGGCCACAATGACCTCCTTATTTTCTGAACTAAACATTCTATCGCTGCTGCATAGTTAGAACTTTATACTTCTTACAGGGTTCTCTAATTCTGTCATTTCTCTTATGGAAAAATTAATCTTTTTCATAAAAGTAGAAACTCACTGACAATAAGGACAAATTGCTTATTCTTTTAACAATTTGATTATGTATTCAACACATTTAATGGACCTTCCCTCTTTTTATAATACTTCCAGGGTCACGGTATAATACTTTCGATTTGACTTGGACAAAAACGTCTTGACCAGTGACTTAAATTTGACCCTGTTGGCTTTTGTCATTGTTCCAACCACAGCTTTTCATCCTAAAGGTTATCAAAAATAATATTTCCTGATATATTGTAATTTCTTAAATTTAATATTCCATTATTATATTTTTATAAAAACAGTATCAAAACAAAAATTATGTAAAAAGCAAACTCACATTTACAATGTTCAATTTCTGAATGATGTAATCTGGACATCTTTTGTGCTGGTTGATCTTTACAACAACATCTCCAAAAGCCCGAGTGCCCTCTTCCATTGACGGCCAGTATTCTGCACACTTGTTCTATATTTAAAAACATTATTAAGTATTTGAATTTTTAATTTAAGCCAATTTTTATCCAACTTTCTTTAAAGAGTGAAAACAAAACCTATACTCATTTGAAATTCTCAAAACATTTGTGTAGTTCAAGCATATATAAACCTTAAGCTGTGATGCTTGATATATGTTCTATTTCCCACTTATGAGTGCTATAGAATTTCCTTCATACTTTTTAGCGAGATGATCTTTCCAGGCTTACATGCATGTTAAGAGAGGAGACAATCATTTGTCAGCAAAAAAGATGTGATTGCTTGTGGTTAATTTTAGGTAGGGGGACAGAGAGGCTTTTACTCCTAAAGTCACATTACATGACTCACCACCTATCTGCCCAAGGTCAGTTTTGTTTCGAGTATTAAGTTCTTGTGAAGCTAAAACAGTGAAATTTACTGAACTTATAACAACACTGCAGAGAAACAGGAATCAAGTTTAATTAATCAGAAGACTTGAAATTTTATGCATACAGACATATATTTGTATGTTAAAAGTTTTAGTTTTCTACAGGTATGAAAAATTTAAATAAAAGTTAATACTGATTAAAATAGAGAACTCTCTGTTTAGTCATGAGGCAGATATACGTGGCTTTTCAAAATGCCATTCAACACTTTATTTTCCTAACCCCAAGATCCACACTATGAATCTTCTTGGTTCTTACCCTGTTTCCTTCTTCACATCGAGTGACCATGACAATAACTGTGGCTTTCTGTTCCCAAATCATCCTCCAGAAATCATCAACGGTTTCATCCCTGGGACCTAGGAGGTAAACAAATAAAAGTTGATAAGAAATGTTTTCTTAAAAGTGCTATAAAACAATTTTTCAAAAAGAATATTGGATTATCAAAGAAATTACCTTGTGCAGCAATGTATTTCCTGGGTTCTTTGAAACCCTATTGAAAACACATGCAAAGATATGTCATTTGCTGAACATTGAATTACTCATTAACATGAAAAATTGTGAGTTAGAGGAATTGCCTTAGATCCATCATTTTGTGATTGTGAATTTCTCTGGGCAGTTTCAAAGTATTAAGGGGATCTTATTAATTGGTGGTCAGGCATTTAATTTGCTCAACATGTTAGCATTTGCAAAGAATATTCATGACTTTCATGTATCTTCGCTGTAAACTTCAAGCAATTTTAACACTAGGCTTCATCTTCATCTGGGATGTTGTTGTAATTTACAAAAGTGCTCTAGACATTTCAACATTTTATATCCTGCCAACTCTTATAGGATCATCTGCCACTGTTTAAACCTGCTCACCAGCCATGTAGTTACTTTTGGGATTTTTACTCAATTTCTTTCAACAAATCATTCTTGGATTTTACCCGCATTTTCACCTCTTAATTTCTGCTGGAATATGATGATTCCCTAGACTTCTCTGCCATTTCAGATAAGAGATATAATAACTTTCATTTCATTACCTACAATGTCTGCTTTCTCTCCTCCTGTTACCAAGATAAAGGAATACAGAGGCAGATAAAATATTATACTGGCTTCTTCCAGAATTATCTCAGACTCCTAAATTCACCTCAGCAATGAAAGGAGCTCTTCAGAAAGAGATGGCCTTTACCATTGGATTAAATTTGAAACATGGGTCACAAGAATTCAACATTAATTTAAGTAACTTCCTGAAACTTCTATCTCATGACACAGTATTGCGCATACATTCATTTACTTAATAAGTATTTATTGAATAGCTACAATATGTTAATCACCTATCTAAAAGCAGAAGTCACATGCTTTCTGGGAGCTCCAAGTTCCAATGGAGAAACATAATAAGTAACCTGATACCATAATTACCATATATATTTGAATAGAAAATATAGTTGCTTCTGGTAGGTGAGGACACCGGGAAAAATGGCAGATTTGGGGAGAAAAAAAGATTTTTTCAGTCTGTATATATTTTTATACTGTTTAAAATTATTTAACCTATATAATGGATTAATTATTTAACATTTGTATAATAAATTAAATTTTAAGATATTTTAAACAAATTAACCACGTACAGACATTTACATTTCTGCATAAATCCAGTGGACAGATGATCTGTGTTGATGAGGAAAGTCTGCTGAAATTTAGTGTGATTAAATTAACGGATAACATTTTGGAGTCAGTCAGACTCTGGTTGAATTTCAACTCAAGTATTTACCAGTTGTGTGAACAAGGACAAGGTAATTAACTAAACGGAGCCTTCCAGTCCTCACTTATATGGCACATGGCTGAGGCAAATGTGGGCTTCTTTTGAGAAATACATGCATAGATTATTTAGTCTAATATCTAGCACACAAGAGGTACCAGAGTACATTAAATTAATTCTTAATATAATTTTGTTTGTAGAGGAAAATTCTGTTATACCCAATACCAATAGTCACATAATAAATAACTATCCTTGCAAATATTAATAATTTTCTGTTTATATCAGTGACATATGGGCTCACTTCAAAATATTTTTAATAATATTTCTAAAATTTTGCCGAGACAAAGAAGGAGCTGAATGAAATATACAGGAATAAGAAAAATGCAAATTTTGGCCGGGCACGGTGGCTCACGCCTGTAATCCCAGCACTTTGGGAGGCCAAGGCAGGCGGATCACAAGGTCAGGAGATCGAGACCACGGTGAAACCCCGTCCCTACTAAAAATACAAAAAATTAGCCGGGCGCGGTGGCGGGCGCCTGTAGTCCCAGTTGCTCGGGAGGCTGAGGCAGGAGAATGGCATGAGCCCGGGAGGTGGAGCTTGCAGTGAGCCGAGATCACACCACTGCACTCCAGCCTGGGCGACAGAGTGAGACTCCGTCTCAAAAAAAAAAAAAAAAAAAAAAAAAAAAAAAAAAAAAAAAAAAAAAAAAAGAAAAAAGAAAAAAAGACTTTCTATCATCACCCCCCAACATCATTTAACCCTAGGAGTTTTTTTTCTTTTTTTT